AGTTGTTAGTGTTTTACTTACTTCTTACTTTCGTTGTCAGGGCAAATATGGGCAAAGTAACTGGAAATTGTCTGCATCTAAAAATGTAAGATACGCAATATTAACACTGTTTAAGTTGTAAGAAAAGCAATATCTCATGGCTGTGATTAGACTGTCGCAGCCGCTTTTGCGCGTGGGAAATTGCATAAATCTCACTTGAAATCATGCTTGCAAAATCACATGACAAAATGTTGTCTAAAATACACATTCAAACTGTGAACAGTTGAAATAAATGCACATGTCTGCATTACACCTGTCGCATGTCAGACGGCTAGTCTTCGTCTGCTTACATGCTGCAGACCTTTCATAGTTGAGATATAACATTTGTTATTGCACTATTCTCATCATACAGGAGCCAACGGTTTATTTATTGTGTATGAAACTAAATAGCTGGGCAAATAGACTTTAGTGGGATGCTATTTTCTTTTTGCTTGCGACATCAATGTAGTCCGAGTGATGGGGTTTTTTTTTCCATGGCACTCTTCAGTTCTGTGTTATTTATGCCTTTTTACGGTCCAAATAATTAATCAGCTCTGACACAACAGGAAAAGAAACAGCTTTTAATTACTTATGATGAAATAACAAATTATGTTGGCCTTGTTCCCAAAAATACTGGAGCCAGTGAATGGTAATTCATTACAGGCAGAGAGAGACAGTGTAGGAGGGAGACAGAGAGCTGTGAGATATGAGCTCTGTTCGGATGAAATCAATACACACGCTTTGTTCATGTGTGTGTGTTGGCGTGTGTCTCTGTTGTTGCGTGAGATCCTTTGCGATCCATCAATACCTGTTCAAAAGGTTGAGTGTCAGACCGCAATGGACGCACTGATGCACTAGCATATCAGCAAACGCTAATGCGTCAGACACCAGTAGGATATTCTTATAAATGAGCTAAATTTATCTTCCATCCTTAATTTGAATTACTTTTATCAATCCCACTTCAAACACAGTTTCGTTTGTGAAATTTGTCGAATTTGAAGTACCTAGTAGGCTGCCTACACAGACATCTGTCTTCTAAGTTGGCATCGTAACTGTGATTAAACCTCATTAAATGAATGATTTGGGATGCTCTGCTCACTCACTTGCTTCATCCAAACTCACATACTCACTGAGCACATACTTCTTTTGAATAATTGCTTCACAACCATTAAAAAAAGTATGTTCTGTAGTATGAATTTGTGTTGTATGAATTTGATCTGGACATACTACATTCTTCATGTTGTCATTGTCATGTGACCTACCAGCCTCAGTTGTCTCTCTTAAAGGTGGGGTAAGCGATTTTTCAAAAACACTTTAGAAAACTGATTCGGCCGACTAGCAAAACAAACTTGTAGCCAATCAGCAGTAAGGGGCGTGTCTACTCATGATGTGGAGGAGAGAGAGCGTTAAGTGCACAGGACAGACATTAGCGAGCCGAGCGACAGAAAGATAGAGATGGAGGATAAAAAACAAAAGAGGAAAACATCTGTGGAACAAAAGAAGGCTTAAGGCAATAAGTAGGACCCGTGTAAATATCAGATCAGCTTTCCAGCGCTGGAGAGAACTCAAGGAGCGGAAGGCCTGCGGACGCCGAGGTTGCTTTGTTTCTTCTCAATAAGTGAGTAACACCGTGTCTGCACCGCAACAGCTAAAGTCTGTCTATACTGGACACGACAAAGCGACTGTTGAAAATCATTTGAAATGTGTCAATACCAGAGCATGTGAGCGAAGCGACGCTCCGCTACGTTTTCCGCTCTATGGACGTGCGCTCCACTCAGTCGCTCTAACCGCCCAAGCAAGCGCTCCGTTAATATTCCGCTCACGCTCACCGTAAACCAATTCCCGCTCAGATCCCGCTCCGTTCTGTAAAGAACAAATTTGCGTGCATTATATTAGATTATAAATTACTGCTGCCTATATCTAGCCTACATTCTGAAGGACTACCTATTGTTTCGGGTCTCGAACAAGCAAATCACCAAACGACATTCTGGGTTGAGCGAGCGGCACTGAGCATATTGAGCGAGCAGAGCGGAATCTTCAGAAAGGCGCTCTGCGCTCTTAAGGAAATATTACCACTCCGCTCCGCTCACATGCTCTGGTCAATACGTCATGAATAGAACACAGCATCAGTTTTCTGTTGGGGATTTGTCGTGTCGTACCGCGCCACATCCAGTGTAGACCATAGATAAATGTGTATATATATATATATATATATATGGTGTGGACAGCATCACGGATTATAATGAGTTCCATAGTATTTTATCGCGCCGCGCCACTCGCGTCCAGTGTAGACACGGTGTAACATTGGTTTTGCTTTGTTTCACAGAATTAATCGGAGCTATCAAAATAGGGGCGAGACCCTTTTGGGGTAGGGGTGTGTTTGTTTTGGTGATTTCAAATGTCAACATTGGCTACCAGAAATCGCTTACCCCACCTTTAACTGCCATTCACAAATCTTCTCCTGTGGCCTCATGGGATAGCCTTGGCTTACAATAAATACGACACAAAAATGCTGGGTACTAAAAATATTTAGTTAAATGTTCAGTATTTAATTAAATATGTGTTTGTTTTTGTCTGCTATCATGGATTTTTTTCCTCCATTGAGTTTGTTACATTGCATTCTGGCATTGTCTTACCTGCAAAACATACATATATATGCAAAGTTATCTTAGTATTTGGTTCAAATGAGGTTTCTTATAATATTGCTTATATCCTTTGAAACAGCCTTCACCTTAAAATGCTGTCTCCGTAGGTATCTCGCTAGGTTTCGGAAAGGAGCATTTGTGTTTATACACGTTGGGTTCGGTGGATGGACACAAATACGCTCAGGGTTTTGTTGACATGCAGAGACCTCTGTTTTTTATTGCCACCCTGTGAGCTTGTTTTTAGGCAAGCGAAGCGAAATTCTTCAGAAATGAATTCTCACCGAGTCTGTAGTGAACTGGATTTCCCAGAAGACTTCCTGCGTCTCCGGGTTTCAGTTCTACTCTTGACCACAGAGGGGAACACTCGGAATGAAATTAGACACTTCCCCACAGAGAACTACAGCCTCTCTCAGATAGACTGACACAGAGATAATGGACTTTGGGAGGAAGGAAAAAAGAGGGTTATATGTCATTTTTAAAGGAATAGTTTATCCAAAAATGACATAAACATTTTCTTTCATCATTTATTCACTCTTATCTATTCTTAACCCTTTATTACTTTACTAAAAGAAAACTCAGAGCACTGTTTTCATTTGCATGTAATTACAATAAGTGATGATTAATGCTTTGATGCTTCAAAAAGGATGGAAAAGCAACATAAAAGTGGTCCATATAGTTTTTTCCCCCCGCAAGTCTTATGAAATCATACAACATACTTTCTGTAAAGAAACAGACAGATATTTAAGTATTTATTCATTATAATGCTTAAAAATCCTGTCTGGCTCTTCTTGGCATGCTCATGAGATAAGTAAAGATTTTTCAGATCGTTTCAAATGAATCATTTGATTTGGTTCACAAAAACTGCATTTTTCTGTCACAAATCGGTTCTCAAGTTCAACTCATGGACTGAATTGAGTGAAGAGTAACACAAATTTGTTTCTCTCACTTACGGCGTCGAAAGACTTCACCGCTGTTAAGGTGCTTTTCATCTGTTTTTGAAGCCTCAATGTTTCAGTCCTCATTTATTGTAAGAGCAACCAGCACATGTTTCAGAGTTTATCCTTTTGAGTTCCACTGAAGAAAAAATTAATATGGGTGTGAGACACAATTTCTGGATGATCTGTCACTTTTAGAATTACAGAAAGGGTGATGGGAAAAGAGGCAAATAGAAGTAACGGGAAAAAATGTGGATGATTTGTGAGTGAGTTGTTAAAGAAAGAATGATATGCAATAAGGACAGAAAGACATTCAATTCCAGCATGGCACAGTGCTGTTTTCAATAACCACATTAGCTCTATATTTCAGATTAATGCTAACAATTAAATGACACATAGGAACAACACTTTTATCAAGCCCTGTGGATATGGACGGGGCACTATGCATATTTAATCTGAATAGCCTGCAATAGAGGCCATTACGGCCGTGTAATTACGGTAATGCTCTAACAGGGTCTTTTGTCCAGAGTGCTGAATTCACTCTCTGGGGCCCCGTGTTTGTTGGGTTGTATATTTTTCTGTGTCCAAGTAAAAGTTGCAGCATTATCATCTTTTTCCCCGTTTCTTTTTTCTTCTTCTTCTTCCCTCACACTTCTCTGGGTGAAGTGATTTCTTACTCACTACAGTGTTTCTCTAAATAAGAATGTGATTTGAAGCCACCTGCTATCATGTACACACAGCCAAACCTGCCTTAGTTCAGTCGATTTTAAATTAACAGTGACACCAGGCCCATTTTCTCTCCGGGTCAGACCAACAGAATAATTATCCTTCTTATCCAACTATCAGACTTAACTGTTTCCAATCTGAAAGGGTTAACAGGACATGAAGGGGTTTGTGGTTAATATATGCCTTGTGCGTTTGCAGCTTCCATGTTTACGTATCCAAAGAGTGCCTTTTTTTTGCTTTATTTATCTGTAACTATGTGTGGAAGCAGACAAGCTGGTGTGTGTGCTCCAAATGTTATGGCAGAGCCACTTCAGCACCAGCGTAGCATGAAGCACAGTTGCTGTACATGCAGAGGATTTGGTGGTTCTGGTGGGGTTCTGAGCTTATCTGGACCCTGCAGGTCTTCTGACTGTTCCTCAATCCCCTCACACATTATCATAACAAGGGCATATGAAATGAAAAAAACAATTTAAACAAGTCTAAAAAATAAAGAATTTCAGAGCAATCTGTAATGTAAATTGGGAGCTCACCTTCTTTGTTATTGTAGACTGGGCTTCGTTCTTAATTCAAAGGAAATTTAAAATACCACTTTTTGAGGAATTAAATGTTTTTTGCATGTAATTGTGTGGCTTTCATTCTCAGGCTCAAAACGTGTTGCTGTCTTTCTCTCCCGTAGGAATCAGACACCTCTTTGGTTGCAGTGAGACCCCACCTGCTCAGCCACAGCTGTACATGGAGACCCCCAGTTGGGCAGGTCAGTGTGTTTGTTGAGGTCCTGCACTAAATATTTGTCTAGATGCATTGTGTGGGTGTAGCTGTAGATAAGTTTGTTCATTTATCAGAACAGATTTGGAGAAATTTAGCATGACATCATTTGCTGACCAGTGGATCCTCTGCAGTGAATGGGTGCCGTCAGAGTTCAAAGAGCTGCTAAAAACATCACAATAATCCACATGACTCCAGTCCATAAGTTAACGACTTTTGAAGTGAAAAGCTGTGTTTGTAATAAACAAATCCATCATTAAGATGTCATAGTTTTAATGCTAAAATATGAGTCCACTATCCATAATATTGCTTTCTCCAATGAAAAAGTTGTTCAGTCTGAATCAAGAGAGAGAGATGCACAAAATCAAGCACCATTTACAAGCAAAAACAGTCCAAAACAGTTCTAAACTAATATGTTGGTGGATTTTGATGAGAGAGGACAACAGGGGATGGACTTTTCACTGGAGAAAGCGTTATTATGAATTATGGACTGGTGTTCTGGCCAAAAGCGCACAGCTTTACACCGCTTTAATGCTACATTTCTCCAAATCTGATGAGGAAAACCAACTCATCTGCATCTTGTGAGGCCTGAGGGTGAGTCAGTTTTCAGCAAATGTTCATTTTTGGCTGAACTATTTCTTTCAGTCACGTATTTGTTGCCATCATTAACTCGCCCTCCTGTTGCTCCAAACTCTTGGACGAAATGTCAAAGCTTCTCTTTTCCTTGCAGGTCCTCTTTCATGCTTAGCAAAAATTGTACTACTAGACTAATATATCTTAAACTCATATTGTTAAATTGTATGTTTGTATGTATTTAAATGTTATTTCATTTATTTATTTATTTTTCACTTCCTCTTGCCTAGTGGCAGCAAATGATTCTGACTGCTACTGGTGACCCCTCAATATACAGTTTCATGATCTTCCTGGTTTTGAGTTAGATGTTCTTTCAAGAGTGAATTGTGCTGTAAGCAAAGGTTGGATTGAAATTTTGTCTGACTCTTCAATTCATGGAATGGATTTCATATTTTTGCACCATTTACATTTACAGGCATTCTCTCTCTCTCCTATATCATCCTTATCCGCTGTATGTCTCAGTGTCATTGTTGTTTTCCGTCTGTCTGGGGTGTTTCCTCTGTGGATCAGTTACATTACTAGAAACCTGGTAGATAGAGATTAGGTCTCATTCATTAATATTTACATACAAATTTCATACATGTCTGCAAACATTGACGATTTTCCATCACATTCAAAATCTATGTATATTAATAAAACTCTTATTTTTATTCATCTATGAAAAGTAGATGTAGATAGATGGATAGAGAGATAGACAGGGAGTGGTGTGGTCTGAATTTAGAAAGTGTGATATTCATAGATCTTTAATTTTGTTTGAAAATGTTTGCATACAAGTTTTGCCCACAAATGTTTGAATGTATGGTGAATGAGACCTAATTTAGACATAATTTTACTTGTGCCCTTAAACAGAATCTGAGTTAACTTGAAGTGCACCTTACTGATCTTAACTTTTCTTCTAGCAATGCAAAGCTGCCTTATAAGACCAAAATGACTAACGCAGTCGCATTGGTCTGGTCTGGTCTGGTGTGTGTGTGTGTGTGTGTGTGTGTGTGTGTGTGTGTGTGCGAGACTGAGTGTGCCCTTCACAGATGTGGTTCTCAATTGCAGAAATAAAACCATGCAAAAAATAAAATAAAATGCATGTGACCATATCATTTTGCATTGTTAGGATAGAAAAATGAATCGGCTTTTTGTTAATATCAGACTCTACGGTGTCATCTGTCACTGTTGAAGCTCGCCAAATTAGACAGAAGCCAACATGGACAGGTTGTGTGACATATCGCTATCCTTAAAAGCGGACAATACTAGATAAGAGAAATTACTATAAATTGCTTGTTTCAAATTTCGGTGCTGTGTTGGGTTAAAATTTGGCTCCTGCCACAAAATAGTTGAGAACTGCTGCTGTAGAGCTGTAAATGAGCGTGTGTCTTTAAAAGTGGAGTGGAGAGGAGAGGGCCGGCGCAAGGGAGTGAGAGAGGAGTGGTTTAAGTAGTGCTGACGACAGGCCTTTGATTCTGAGCATGCCCATTAGAGGGAGCCATAAATCCTGGGCTCTCTGGACTGCCTGTGTCAGCAGTCCATGGAATGAATTGATATTAAACGCGACAAAAAGCCTCTTTAATTCTGCCTCCACCAGCCTCTCTCTCTCTCACTTCTTCTCTTCCTCACTCTTTCTCTCTCTTTCCCTCCATTTCTTCTCTCTGCCTCACCCTGTTCTGGATGGTAATTGAAAAGAGGGAGGAGAAAAAAAAGCCCAGTGAAGCCAAGCCTGTCATCATAAAAACATCTGCAATTACATCCGCTCTATTCATTATTTATGAAAGTCATTAATTAAATATTACTCACAAACAGCAATAGCATTTTCCCCCTTTTTTTGCCCTCATGTTGTCTTCAAAATGGGCACGTTTTCTGCCAAACATCACAATGCCATTTGCAGTAAATATTTATGTTTAGACAATAAGAACGATTATGTACGACCAAGGCCTGTGGTGAACATAGAGTGGTCTTTACTTCTTGAAAGAGGCGGAAATGTACTTATTCCGCGTCAGCGTTTTCAGCGCACAACTTAGTGCTGAAATAATTTGAGATAACTTGATTCATTTTCAGGCAAATAGGATATTCTAAAACGGCCCCCTTTCTCATTTTTATTGGCCTGTCTAAAAATGTCCCGTAATGAGAAGAGGAAATGCTGTCACAGGATGACATCACCCCCACACATGATGTGCTAAAACTGTAAGCGGTGGGATTTCAGGTGCCAATTTGATAAGTTAGACCTGTTATTCCCAAAATTGTAAAGATGAGGAACGATACATCAAACGAGGGGCTCCATGGCGTGACGCTCTTTTAAAATGAGCCGGATGACATTCTAAGTGGGGAGCCGGGCCGCTCTGAGAGCACCGACCAGCACCAGGTACAGCTGTTGTAACTCTTTCACTTAGCGGGGCCCCTACATGGAGGCTCTCAGCCGGTACGAGGGCCCACGCTCACGACACGTACGTGATGGATTGAGTCAGGGAAAACCATCATCTGGTCGTGCACGCGCGTGCTGAGCGAGGTAGGCCCCGCTTGATTAATGATATTTGCCTGGAGTCATCGAAAGCTGGATTTAAGTATTTCGGATTTAAAGTAACATTCGTCTCTATTGTTCACAGCGAGAGAGGCATTAGTCAAATTCAGCCACGTCTCCACAGACGACGACACTCCAACCCCTGGAGCACGCTGTGTAACAGTGCGGTTGTCTCACTCTCGTTTCAACAAATTATTCATGCAATTTTTGCCCGTTTTGTCTGATTATCTACAAATCTCTCTCACGACTGAGTTTATCATCCTGCCAAAATCATTTATTTCTCAGTAGTATTTCCGCTGAGTAAATGTTTGATGAATTGCTGTCATTACGCCTGTTTTTAAAGTGCAAATATATTCTGCCAAATATAGGACTTTGTTTATCATAGTAATTTTGCAAACACGCAACATACATTTTTTTTAAATGTTTTTCTTTTTTTCCCCCCATGTTAAATAAGTTCTCAAAACATGACAATATCTGCTGTATCAGATGAAATAATTTTCAGTAAACAACCTTTAAAATAATAATAATAATATTTTTTAAGCGAATAACAAGTAATTTTCAGTAACCAAACTTTTTTTAATTTTTTATTAAATATTACTTGGTAAGGGCAAATTCATTCTTTTTTCCCCCATATTTTGAGTTCTGCGCTCCCAAGGTGAAGGGCCATTGATGCCATTAACAGAATGGACAGAGAGAGCGAAAAATCCCTTGTGACAACTGAGTAATGAGATGAAATGATAGACCTGGCTCGGGTCTGGCACTGGTATTTTGTAACTGTAAACGTCCTGAAATCAGCATTAAACTGACCATCTGATCCAAGACTAACAAAGATCCTCAAGGTCAAAGACTCACTCCCTCTAAAATAGTGTTCTTTAAAGCGCTTAGCAAAGCATAATTTGTGCACCGTGTTTCCTTAGGCTCAAATAAATCACTCGGCATAGATGGTCAAATACAAACGTCCAAGTTCGACTGACATTTGACTTACATTTTTCGAGTACTGAGGCAGATATCAGCCCTTTCTGGTCAGATACTTTCAAAAAGCAGAGAGGTGAAAAAGCAAAGATAGCACCTGACTGCCTCGCCACTCTGTTTCTGTACGTCTGCAGCTTCTACGGATCTGTCAATGGAAATCCAATTGCCGGGAAAGCGCTCAATCCTAACTCGGTTACCTTGGTGGATAGTGGCATCCACTGTATCCACTGCTGCCTGTTTGAGCTGTTTGTTTTAGGCCTAAATCACGGCAGATGGGGTGTGTGCCAGCGTGCCGTGAGGAAAATATACATTTGGAATTGCTCACAGTCAAAGCAAAGCCTTACTGGAGACTTCAAAGAACAGAATATTATAATTCATGCTGTAAAATATTGAGAACCAGGAGAAATATGCAAAAGAGTGCTTACTCAGTGCTTACTCTTGCAGTGTTACTGTGCAACAGGTTTTAAAGAGACAGCTCACCCCAAATTGAAAGTTTTGTGATAATTTTCTCACCCTCATGTCGTTTCAAACTTGTGACTTTTGACTTTTTCAGTCAAACACAAAAGGAGAAGTTTTGAAAAATGTTCACAGTGCGTTCTTACATAAAGTGAAATTCGATGGTGAACAATGCTGTCAATCTGCAAAAAAAACCATGATAAAAGCATCATAATAATAAAAATTATTCTATAATAATAATCATATTGTCATTTGAAATCATATGATGGCTCTGTGTGAGGAACAGACTGAAATGTAAGTTATTCACTGGAAATCTTGCTTCCCATCCATGTTCACCATCAATGTCAGAAATTAAGACTTTTATTAATGGGCAATATTTTAACGAGCATTTTAAACATTTTATAAGGGCTTATTTTCGTCTA